TTCGTGTCTACACGTCTTAACCTGTATATCTATTTACATACATGTCTACGTGGTCCCTGCAGGTAGGGCGTATGCTGCCCCCATTGCATGATCGTAAGAGGCGACAAACTTTTGGATCTTATCTTTTCTCTTCTATCTAAACAACTTTCTTTTTCCTTATGTCTCCCTTGCCAACGCCTCACTTTTGGCCTATAGTTGAGCGTTTACCCCTGTGAGGAAGGCTTTGGGTTTTGTCCCCTGGCCGAGACATTCTACTCGTGCTTAACGCTCAGTAATTTAGGAGTGGGACGACTGGTTTACCCGTTGTCAGTATAATGTGATCGAATGGGGTGTCCTGCTGAGTGTCTTCGGCAGTATGTTTCAGTGAGGTAGCACTATAAAGTCGGCATCAGTTCCGCGCTATCACAAGGAGGCAAACACGAGCATATCGCAGCATCCGAAAACACACACGCATACACTACATGCATATATTTTGCACACAGACGAGGCCGTCCTTAAATGACCATAGCTGTTGATAGGACGTTAAACAATACTAAACCAAATCAAAACGTGTCTACGTTCGTGTCTTTACGTGTCTTAACCTGTATAACTTTATACACGTGTCTAAACCCGTGTCTACAATGTATATTCGTGTCTACACGTGTCTTAACTTCTGTCTACATTCGTGTGTACACGTGTCCTAACCTGTATACATGTAAACACGCATGTCTACACGTGTCTTAACCTGTGTCAAGATTTTCAAGATTTCAAGAATTTATTTGTTCACTCAGTCGCACTAGTGCGAAACAAGAGGTCAAACAGTTGGTACATTTTAAACATGGCGGAAACTATGCTTTCAAAATTCCGTCTAATTTTTCTAGAAATCTACTAATACGAGTGAGAACTTGTGTATTACAAATTGAGAAAAGACCTTGCATTTTAGTCTAGCTTGGATTTTTACAATAGTAATCTGGTGTGTATAAGTGTCTTAAGTCTTCTCTACAAGTGTCAAAACCTGTCAAACCTGTGTCTACATTCGTGTCTGCATTTGTCTAAACCCGTATTTACTCGTGTTAACACGTGTCTAAACCCGTGTTGTCATAAACAACCGTTTTAGATTAAATATAACATGAACACCATGATACTCGGCGAATAAACCAACGACATACATGTGAGTGAGCTTTTGCCTAATCCCATTGTTTTATTCTGGTAAAAATTTTGACAGTAATAAATAAGACCAATCTATAATCCCGGTACTGTAAAAAGCCTAGTATAATGGCTAATACATGACGCTTTGTTGCCCACGGGAAGACGCCGAGCGACAAAAGAAATGACAAAAAATACGAAAAAACATCTTTTCTTATTAAACGATAGCGCAAAAAGAGGGAGAACAAACGACATTTAAATTTTACGCTTTAACGCTTTTTTCGTTCGGGCGTGTTTTTGTCTTTTTGTTATATCTGTTCCTATCTCATGCCAAACATGCTATGGACAATTTGAACATATCTCCTTTTCGATAACTTAACTCTCTCTTTAGATGTCTGAAACATAGCCATTGACCCCGAAGGTCAAACCCGTAGCGATACATTTTCAGCATCCTGGCCGACGACAGAGGCACACTTGGGTCTTAATGCCGCTATTGCTTTATGTTAGGTACATGTACTAAACAACACCGCTAACTGTGTTACTTTCATTTTAAGTGTCTCAACCGTTGTTTTCACTCGTGTCTGCACGTGTCTAATCTCTATATTAGGCCGTGTCTTCGTTCGTGTCTACAATATTTAAACATGTGTCTATATCTATGTCTACTAGTGTCTGCGCGTTTGTATACACTTGTCTAAACCTGTGTCGAAACGTGTCAAACTTGTGTTTACACTCGTGTCTACTCACATGTGCCATCGCTCGTGTCTACACATGTCTATACCTGTGTCGTCACTCTTGCCTACACGTGTCTAAACTTGTGTGTCGTCACTCGTGTCTACACGTGTCTAAACATGTCTCATCACTCGTTTCGACACATGTCTATACCTGTGTCGTCTCTCTTGCCTACACGTGTCTAATTATGTTTAATCACTCGTGTCTACACGTGTCTAAACTTGTGTCATCGCTCGTTTCGACACATGTCTTTACCTGTGTCGTCACTCGTGCCTACACGTGTCTAAACATGTGACATCGCTACTGTATACACGTGTCTAAACATTTGTCATTGCTCGTGTCTACATGTATCTAAACATGTGTCATCACTCGTGTGTACACATGTATAAACCTGTGTCATTGCTCGTGTGTACACGTGTCTAAACCAGTGTCGTCACTTGTGTATACACGTGTCTAAACATGTGTCATCATTTGTGTCTATACGTGTCTAAACATGTGTCATCACTTGTGTCTAAACCTGTGTCATCACTCGTGTATACACGTGTCTAAACCTGTGTCAGCGCTCGTGTCTACGCGTGTCTAAACCTGTGCCTTCACTTGTGTCTACACGTGTCTAAACCTGTGTCATCTCTCGTGTCTACTCGTATATTAACTTATGTCTTTATTCGTGTCTTCATGACACTGGATATGTGTCTTCACCTATCTTCGTGGGTCTTTACCTGTGTTTACACCTTTGCTTATAGCTAAATATTTGCGTGTCAGAATGAATATTCGCGAAATGTTTAATAAACAAAAAAAAAAATTACACGAGTTCAAATTAACATATAAAGCTTGCGAGTAAAAAATCCCTATGTATCCTAATACAAAAATTATCAGTTCTAAGTAGTCTATGTAAAGATTATTTAAAAATATAAATAACGGAACGTTACTCGCTACTTCATTGCGACATTAATAGCTTCAAAAGAGTTCTAACTTAAAAATGATTCAATATATATATTTATATAAATGATAATTTTGACATGATTTTCATTAATTACAAAGTTTAGGAAAAGACTTATTTAGGCTTAGCCTGTTGTCTTATCTCTTTGTTAATACATGTATTGTTATATTTCTTCTGTGTTACTTGTTATTATCTTTGTTTGTATTAACAATGAAATATTTTGAAAATTGAAATATTAAAAAGTTGAAGGTACATATGAATGATAATAAGGTTACTTTTCTTTACTTATTAAATAAAGACGACTAATCTTAACACGGGCACAATTATTACTTGTGATATACAGTATAAACGTGATATTACAGCTAATGTTTAATGCGATCATTTCGAAAAGTAATTGTCTTCAAATGATTAATTTTGAATATCAATAATGACATTCAATTTAGTAACATAAATAGTTTTGCTCTATGAAGGGTATGACAAGTATGAATTAAGCCGTAGTTAATCTATTCGAGGTCCTGATCACTGATCACAGATAGAATAAGAGATCACCCACACGTATGGGATTAATTACCGCAGGACTATGTTCTCCCTTACAGAGATTCTCTAACATAGAGGATTTGCCTTTTGTACGGATTAAAGAAAACCCACATCTTTTAGTCATTTTCCTTTATCTCAAAACCATCAAATGCATGGAACCATATTGTATTTACCGGGTCACACATTCTTGTATAAATAACACTAAAAAGTCAAGACCGCGATCGCCCGCATCTAGGATAGGCCAACGGTCGCGGATTGTAAAAATGAACAACTTGCGGCGGTAGCTCGTGTTTTATTCAGCTCGAAAACTAATCACACACAATATAGAAAAGGTTGCCTGACAGTCTCAATGGGATCATTTTTCATTTCTTTAATTTCGATCTTACACACCACTTCCTAAACCAGGTGTCCCCCACTCAGCGTAAAATCCGTGTAATCGCTTATTAATTTGACTGCCGCAACGGTTTTCCTCAGCACAGGCCAATGTCTATAGAATCCTTTGAATTTTCTTATTGTAATGTCTGGATGACGTTCTTGCGCACTAGATTTTGATTACTGAATGAATGTGTTTTTTTTACTGGTTCCTGCCGTTGCGGCATTCCAAGGAAATGTGCAATGGACTAGAATAGCGATATAATGTTTAAATCATCGATGCGTTGATATTGTATGTATAGTTATGGAGTTGATTTAGTGAGTGTGAATTGTCATCAGCGTCTTTTAAACGCTTCCCTATACTTAATAACGAATATATTTGAGCTTTTTTTTTTTAAACATAGGAATAACATATTTATCGCATGAACACTATATTATTTATTGAATAAGCCAACGAAAAAACTTTTACCAAATCTCATTGCTTTATTCTGGAAGTATTTTTTACAGTAATGTCTTAAACTATTCTATAATTACGTAACTTCAGAACAAACTATCAATGGTGGCTCATATTGAACGCTTTGTTGCCCACGAAATGGCGCCGCGTGGTAAAATGAAATAACTAAAACACACAAAAAAACCCACCGCATATGTTTTTTTTATTAAGAGATAAAGCAAAAAGAGGGATTAATTGTACGTTAGGCGGTATTTCTTACTTTGGTTGGTGTTTCTATTTGTGTTGGCGGGTTTTCCTCTTTTCGTTATTTCTATTTCGTACGTAATTCCAAACATGCTTTGGACACCCTATACATAGTTTAAACCCCTCTTTAAGTGTCTGACAAATATATAGCCATTGATCCCGGAAGTCGATCATCCCGGCCAATTATTGGTTTCGAATGACCGAGATACACTTGGGTCTAATCAACTGCAATGTACTGTATGTACTAAATGTACTAGCAATTGTGTAGCTATTCTTTTTACACTGTTATTTTGTTAATAACTGCAAGTTTTTTGTGTCCTATTTTCTGTTTGTTTGACGTGTCCTATTTTCTGTTTGTTTGGTGTGCCCTATTTTCATTTTGTTTGGTGTGTCCTATTTTCTGAATAATTGGCATGCCCTATTTTCTGTTTGATTAGTGTGCCCTATTTTCTGTTTGTTCGGTGTGTCCTATTTTCTGTTTGATTGGCGTGCCCTATTTTCTGTTTGTTTGGTGTGTCTTATTTTCTGTTTGTTTGGTGTGCCCTGTTTTCTGTTTGTTCGGTGTGCCATATTAACGATCTCGTCGTCTTTGTATTTCAGATGATTGGTTTGATCATTGTGTTGACGAATCCAAGGAACTGGATACCGTCGATGAGGATGGCGACAATTGTGAGGACAACACGGCTTCTGGGTTCGGCGAGGACATTGACGCCAAACTAGGTGAGCTATAAGCTTTTATTATTATAGCTAGTCTATATAACACCGTTTCTGATTGGATGATATTGATCACACGAGGAGGTAATACAAATTATGTCTAACTTACGCGCTCGAGTCTTCCCGTTTTATTTCCCTCATTCGGGCCCCTCTGCAAAACTTAAGTGGCATCCACGCATGACTTCTGAGTGACTGAAGAAGACGACAACATGGTCGCGCAAATGTGACCATCTTAAATGTTATCTAACTCTTTCTGCCTATTTCTGTATAACAAAATTACACTGTCCTTGTTGGAAGGGGAAATGGTTCTTTGTTTTCCTACAACAGAGACAGCGCGTTACATGATCAATTTCTTTGTTTTTTGTTTTTGGAATCCTACATCAAAATACTTTGACTTTATACATTTTTATGTCAGAAGTTCTAAAATAATATACTTCCTGCTGATTCAGTTAACGCAGTTTACACTTGGATATTTCAAAACAAATCCTACATCTTAAGCATGTCCCCCGTTTGATTCAGTGCCGGTTGTGTATATTTGTCGTTTTGAACCTGAGGTGGCTGATACGACACCTGTAGGACATGTCGTTATTTTTACTTTGTAGCTGGGTCGAGGTTTTTCGTCATATATTTACTCTTAATGTTATGGTCTTTTCCTAAGAATGAAAATAATACCATAAAACAGTGAAGACTCAAAAAATAAGTCTCAGAAACTTAATTACAGTATAATAATACGGCTCTCTAATCAGTGAAGCTTAAGATAGACGATCATCCGATAAAAGGATTTACTCATTATTTCCCTTGTCATACACTCGCTTTTCAGTTGCTCAATTCTTTGATTTACACGCAAACACACACAGGAAGTTCACAAAATAGCAAATAATGAAAATAGCTATACATACAGATGTATTTAATAGTTATCCGTCTATCCGGGTTACTTTATTCATACGGTATTCGTTTTGTAACATTTGACATTGGTCCTATACAGCCGTTAGGAATGTAAAAAACAAAATACAACTAGAAATGTTCGATCAACAAATTCTACGAGTAAACAGCACATTGCATAGTTGATAATCCAAATCGAAAAGTAAAAGAGAAAAACAATATATCATCCTCGCTAGCTGTAATTATTTCAATGGTCAGGTCAGCTTTAAATGACGATCAACACAAGTAAAATACATTTTCGCCAGCATGACACATTTTGTAAAATCTGTCAAGTTTAATACAAAATACCGTTCACAGTTTCGATAAATCGACCACGTCTAACTTTCAAAAATCAAAATCCACAATTCTAGTTGAATGTACAAAAATGCTAAGTACCATTGGAAAGACGAATAAGTTTTCTTCTAGAATCCTCCTTTTAAAATATACACGGAAATACATTTTCCTTCCGCGGACATGATCTCGGTATCTTGTAAATCTATTTATAGATTTCTCGATCCAGTGAGACGTCAGGTGTTCGCTCTGGCATGACGTTAACCTCATGAATATGTAAAAAGTGACTATAAATGCAAAAAACGGTAACTAAAAAGAAATCGAGGGAGTATTTTTAAAAGCTTTAATAGTTTTCTTATTATAAAGAAATCATTTTATTTCAGGTGCATATGCAAAATTACGATCTGCCTCCAAGCCTCATTCGACACCACAAACTCTCAAATGGTAAGTTGTCTTTAATGATAAACTTATCAGAGGTGCACACTGCCTCAAAGTATAAACACACGAGATATTGACATTGACGATAACAATGATTTACCTTTTTGTAGTAAATAATATTTACCTGTAAACTAAAACGTGGCAATATTTGGAAATGTACATAGTTTTAACTAGCCAGTAGCATATTCTAATTAATAAAAGTGGATTGGTAAGCTATACGAACCTAAAACAACCTTAAAACAGAACTTGAATAGGTTTTTGTTTGTCTTTTTGTGTGTATTTGCCATTATTTTTTTTTATTATAATGTGTGGAGAGGGCGTAAATGACTTTAGAGATATACATTTTGCCGAATCCTTTTGCTGTAATTTTGACAATAAAATCTTTGAATAAAAAGAAAAAAAATATGCTGTATATCAAATAATGTCACATTCTGAATACGTTAACAAACACTGCAGTGAACTGATATCGCTGAATATGTGTATCATATGAGGGGACAAAAACATGGTGCTGTACAAAAACATGTCGACATATATACTTTTGACATAACGTGAAATAAACGAGAAAGTTACGCTTACTTTTCAGAACATAATGTTGAAACACTTTTAGTGCAAATTACAGCAAATACTCGTTGAAGCACACGAAGGTTAAATTGTCTGAAGTGTTGTTAGCTTAAGGAGTCGATTATACGAAATGTCTCCATTTTGAGAAATTTGGAAAACAAATTGAGATAAAAGGAAATGAACAAATATTTTATATTTGTGTTTTTATCTGCGGACGATCATTATAGATCCCTAAGAATGCAGGTTTCAGTCTTTGATTAATTATTTTTTGAACAAAAAGCAAGATAAAAGAACACGAAACTTACATTAAGTTGCAGTTAATTAACCAGGTAATGGAGGTTGGGCCCAGGAAACCCGACTTCGAGCCAAACGGTACTTCAGTGTGTCAAATTTCTTGATATTGAAAAGTTCGACATATTTACAGGTTGGAGGATAACTACGAGATAGCCATCGGCGTGTGTATTCCTCGTAGTACTCTCTACTACCACTATCTCGACTACTGTGAGAAAAGGGACACCCAGCCTGTCAATGCGGCCAGTTTTGGGAAGGTGAGAAGTCTAGGGGTTCCGGACACTTAAGTGATTTCTTTAATATTTTTTACAACCCCAGAACGTGTTTGTTACCTCGCTCCCCTTAGCGTTAAAGGTTTAATAAAGTGTAACAACAGCAATATTTTGTTTTCGCTGAGTGGACGCCACAACTTGTATCATGGTTTGAGAGAGCACATTTCCAATCCTTATTGGTTTGATTTCAGAAGCTATATACCCAGATAAAACGACATATGGTCACAGCACAAGGTAACTTAAAGTCCTTAACTATCCGTAAAAAAGTGACTACCACATGTGATTAAATACTTATTCACTATAATTTAATTAATACTGTACTGTTCTTGATCTATAATTACATGTTTGAGAACCATCAATGCCGGTGGTATATTCATTCCCCTGAAGAGCTAACAATAGATTAATGGATACGTTTACTCTGTTTATGTTCAGATCATACGACAACAGTTTCCACAGATTACAACGAGGAGACTGGGAACAAGGGGACAGTCTAAGTAAGTATAAAGTACACAATGCAAAATATCTTAAATAAAACATTGAAAATTGTAGAAAATATATAAATGCATCGTGAATGTGTGTGTAACTTGTAATAAAGTAATATAAGATCATTTTTATTAAAGAAAAGAAAAAAAAAGTAACCATGGTTCCGCTGGGGCTCGAACCCAGGACCTCTCGCGTGTGAAGCGAGCGTGATAACCACTACACTACGGAACCGATGCATAAGTTGGCTACACAAATTGAGACGACTGAATTGACACCGCTGTTATGCTAACTTCTAGGGTTAATACTTTGTATACTGCTTATAAAACAATAGCTATTGCACCATGGCAGACCACATAAATACTTATGTTTTTAATTTACTAAATTTACGATATTCCACGGTTTACAACAGAACAGTGGCAAGTAACAACGAGAACGATAATAGTCTAAATATAGAAACATAAACTCGTTAGTCGAGTCATTAAGTAGGTCAGCGAACAAAGATTAACGTGACATAAATACCGTATTCTACGAGTTTACAACTAATTTATAAAAATTCCCTTTATATATAAGTGTTATAAATAGACTAGGATCTAAGGTCAATTGCACTCCAACATTGGAGTTCTGATCCTTGTAATGGAAAAAGAAGACTACCCCAGTTGCATGTAGTTGATTGATCTGGTTTCTCTTTACATGTATATAACGTTAACACACTTAAACGATCTGGTAGAGAACGCCCCAAGTTACATGTGTAACTAAATCTACGAATTAATAGAAACGTTTTTGATAAAATATGACACCTAAACATCCGTGCTTATACACCGATACACAGACAACAGTAAACTTCACAATACACTTACAACTTAAACCTGACAATAGCTAATCCATGTAGAATTCACAATCATACATAATTTTAACTGTAAATTTGTATTTCATAACTCTATGTTTTCTATAAACAGTATCTTTGTAGTTGGGTTTTCAAGTGTTCGTCTGTTCTAATGGTAGTATATATATTGTTACCACTTCTTAATTTTAAATATTGTTAATTACGCTTAAATATTAATTCCTTACTAGATATCACTTAAAAATAACCATACGGAAAATCCTTTTTCTATGAAGAAGTAATACGCAAATAGAAAACAGAAGAAATATGATTTGTTCAAAATTTACGTTATTAAATTAATGAATTAAGCGGGTTTGTTTTAAGTGACAACAATAATTACAGGAAGTACATCAAATTGAATCTTGCAAAATACTGTAACTTAATTACATGCTAGCAATTAAAAGTTACTTACGAATTTAAGTAGATATTTGTTGTACTTTATATTCTAAATACAACATAATTAATAATCTAAATGTTCTGTATCAACATCACAACGCTACGCTCTATACAGGAAAGGAATGCTGGCGGTCCTGAATTTAACCCTTTCGCCCCTATGTAACTTTAGTAGACTATACCATGCATTGATATAGAAGAGTCCATTATGGTCGACAGTGGCGAATGGGTTAAGTTGTCATGTAACCCATGCGATTTTGTTTTGTTTTGTATTGTTTTACGGCCCATCGACAATTTGAGTCATTTAGGGCCTAACAACAGTGAGGTTAGGAATAAAGTGACGGTGTTCCGTAACTGTCAATTAATGTCGGAATTTGAAATTGACAAAGGAGTCTTCGGAATATGTAATTTGTATATTTTTATATACAGGTATCACTATTATGGAATCGGTGTACGGGAAAGTTCAATCTACTACGAGCTCATGTACTCAGCCAAAGGCATCCAGAGGTCTGTACACTACAACTAAATCACTTCTACCTAGCGAAAATTTCACTTCTGTATTGTTCTTTAAATAGTAACGATTTGTATACGCGAAGGCATAAGGATACAGATAATTATTCAGTTGTTCTTGAAAAAGGTTTTATATCACATTTGATGTCGTAAATATGTTTTCTTTGTACATTTCTAATTCTGTAAAGAGAAATACATTTTAAAGTTGAGATGTTACGCTCACAATTGCAGTCAATAGGAACGAACTGTAGTTAATTTACAGTCGCTAAAACATTTTAATTTCATGCATGTTCGTATATTAGAAGTAAATATTTATAAACTAATAGTTTTCGGGTCAAAGCACTAGTCCTTAGTGGTCAAGTTATGAGAAAGTACTTGTTTTGTTTGAGATTCGGTCGTTACAGAAACAGGTCTATCTGAGAATATGTTTACAGAACACTTATGTAAGCAAATATTAAGAATCGTACTTGTGGTATATATCTAGATATAAATGTATCACCAATCCTTAAAATTATTTAAAGGTTATATAAATGATAATGATTGAAATAACAACATACAACATAGATATTGCGCCATGTGTAATTTGCAAAATTTCTCTAATGTGCTTTACAGTAAACTATATTTGAAGTTGAATTTGTAAACAATTAAACCTACAATGTACAATGCAGTTCAATATCTCCTAGTTCATTGAACGGTTATCTCAAAAGGTTACTTATGCTGGATACACCGAATAATCTGGGATTGTCTTCTGTGTCCTCTACTAAGGGGACATGCAACAGACCAAAATTGATCTGCTGCCCTAGTTTCAACACTTTTTCTATTTTTCACGTCTTCTTATTTTTCTATCTACCGTAATTCTCTTTTCCGGTAGTGTCTCACTAGGCACCCGTCCTCATATGACCCTAGCTGTTGTATCTCCCTAGGCACCCGTCCTCATATGACCCTGGCTGATGTCTCCCCCTAGGCGCCCCGTCTTCATATGACCCTGGCTGTTGTGTGTCCCTAGGCACCCGTCCTCATATGACCCTGGCTGTTGTTTCTCTCTAGGCACCCGTCCTCATATGACCCTGGCTGTTGTTTCTCCCTAGGCACCCGTCCTCATATGACCCTGGCTGATGTCTCTCCCTAGGCGCCCCGTCCTCATATGACCCTGGCTGTTGTGTATACCTAGGCACCCGTCCTCATATGATCCTGGCTGTTGTGTCTCCCAAGGCACCTGTCCTCATATGACCCTTGCTGTTGTGTCTCCCTAGGTATCCGTCCTCATATGACCCTGATTGTTGTGTGTCCCTAGGCACCCGTCCTCATATGACCCAAGCTGATGTGTCTCCCTAGGCACCCGTCCTCATATGACCTCTCCCTAGGCATCCGTCCTCATATGACCCTGATTGTTGTGTGTCCCTAGGCACCCGTCCTCATATGACCCAAGCTGATGTGTCTCCCTAGGCACCCGTCCTCATATGACCCTAGCTGTTTTGTCTCTCTAGGCACCCGTCCTCATATGACCCTGATTGTTGTGTGTCCCTAGGCACCCGTCCTCATATGACCCAAGCTGATGTGTCTCCCTAGGCACCCGTCCTCATATGACCTCTCCCTAGGCATCCGTCCTCATATGACCCTGATTGTTGTGTGTCCCTAGGCACCCGTCCTCATATGACCCAAGCTGATGTGTCTCCCTAGGCACCCGTCCTCATATGACCCTGGCTGTTGTTTCTCCCTAGGCACCCGTCCTCATATGACCCTGGCTGATGTCTCCCCCTAGGCGCCCCGTCTTCATATGACCCTGGCTGTTGTGTGTCCCTAGGCACCCGTCCTCATATGACCCAAGCTGATGTGTCTCCCTAGGCACCCGTCCTCATATGACCCTGGCTGATGTCTCCCCCTAGGCGCCCCGTCTTCATATGACCCTGGCTGTTGTGTGTCCCTAGGCACCCGTCCTCATATGACCCTGGCTGTTGTGTCTCCAAAGGCACCTGTCCTGATATGACCCTTGCTGTTGTGTCTCCCTAGGCATCCGCCCTCATATGACCCTGATTGTTGTGTGTCCCTAGGCACCCGTCCTCATATGACCCAAGCTGATGTGTCTCCCTAGGCACCCGTCCTCATATGACCCTGGCTGTTGTGTATACCTAGGCATCCGTCCTCATATGACCCTAGCTGTTGTGTGTCCCTAGGCACCCGTCCTCATATGACCCTGGCTGTTGTTTCTCTCTAGGCACCCGTCCTCATATGACCCTGGCTGTTGTTTCTACTTAGGCACCGGTCCTCATATGACCCTGGCTGTTGTGTCTCTCTAGGCACCCGTCCTCATATGACCCTTGCTGTTGTGTCTCCCTAGGCATCCGTCCTAATATGACCCTGATTGTTGTGTGTCCCTAGGCACCCGTCCTCATATGACCCTGGCTGTTGTGTCTCCAAAGGCACCTGTCCTCATATGACCCTTGCTGTTGTGTCTCCCTAGGCATCCGTCCTCATATGACCCTGATTGTTGTGTGTCCCTAGGCACCCGTCCTCATATGTCCCAAGCTGATGTGTCTCCCTAGGCACCCGTCCCCATATGACCCTAGCTGTTTTGTCTCTCTAGGCACCCGTCCCCATATGACCCTTGCTGTTGTGTCTCCCTAGCCCCCGTCCTCATATGGCCCTGGCTGTTGTGTCTCCAAAGGCACCTGTCCTGATATGACCCTTGCTGTTGTGTCTCCCTAGGTATCCGTCCTCATATGACCCTGATTGTTGTGTGTCCCTAGGCACCCGTCCTCATATGTCCCAAGCTGATGTGTCTCCCTAGGCACCCGTCCCCATATGACCCTAGCTGTTTTGTCTCTCTAGGCACCCGACCTCATATGACCCTTGCTGTTGTGTCTCCCCAGGCCCCGTCCTCATATGGCCCTGGCTGTTGTGGCTCTCTAGGCACCCGTCCTCATATGACCCTTGCTGTTGTGCCTCCCTAGGCCCCGTCCTCATATGGCCCTGGCTGTTGTGGCTCTCTAGGCACCCGTCCTCATATGACCCTTGCTGTTGTGCCTCCCTAGGCCCCGTCCTCATATGGCCCTGGCTGTTGTGGCTCTCTAGGCACCCGTCCTCATATGACCCTTGCTGTTGTGTATCCCTAGGCACCCGTCCTCATTTGACCCTGGCTGTTGTGTCTCCAAAGGCACCTGTCCTCGTATGACCCTTGCTGTTGTGTCTCCCTAGGCAACCGTCCTCATATGACCCTGGCTGTTGTGTCTACCTAGGCACCCGTCCTCATATGACCCTGGCTGCTGTGTCTCCCATGGCATCTGTCCTCATATGACCCTTATGACCCTTGCTGTTGTGTCTCCCTAGGTATCCGTCCTCATATGACCCTGATTGTTGTGTGTCCCTAGGCACACGTCCTCATATGACCCTGTCTGTTGTGTCTCTCTAGGGCTGTTGAGTCTCCCTAGGCACCCGTCCTCATATGACCTCTCCCTAGGCATCCGTCCTCATATGACCCTTATTGTTGTGTGTCCCTAGGCACCCGTCCTCATATGTCCCAAGCTGATGTGTCTCCCTAGGCACCCGTCCCCATATGACCCTAGCTGTTTTGTCTCTCTAGGCACCCGACCTCATATGACCCTTGCTGTTGTGTCTCCCTAGGCCCCGGCCTCATATGGCCCTGGCTGTTGTGTCTCTCCTTGCTGTTGTGTCTCCCTAGGCACCCGTCCTAATATGACCCTGGCTGATGTCTCTCCCTAAGCGCCCCGTCCTCATATGATTCTGGCTGTTGAGTCTCCCTAGGCACCCGTCCTCATATGACCCAGGCTGATGTGTCTCCCTAGGCACCCGTCCTCATATAACTCTTCTAGGCACCCGTCCTCATATGACCCTTGCTGTTGTGTCTCCCCAGGCCCCGTCCTCATATGGCCCTGGCTGTTGTGGCTCTCTAGGCACCCGTCCTCATATGACCCTGGCGGTTCTGTCTCCCAAGGCACCCGGCCTCATATGACTCTGGCTGGTGTGTCTCCCTAAGCAGCTGTCCCCATATGACCCTAACTGTTGTGTCCCCCTAGGCACCTGTTCTCATATGACCCTAGCTTTTGTGTCTCCCAAGTGATGTGTCTCCCTAGGCACCCGTCCTCATATAACTCTGGCTGATGTCTCTCCCTAGGCGCCCCGTCCTCATATGACTCTGGCTGTTGTGTCTCCCTAGGCACCCGTTCTCATATGACCCTGGCGGTTCTGTCTCCCAAGGCACCCGTCCTCATATGACTCTTGGCTGGTGTGTCTCCCTAGGCACCTGTCCTCATATGACCCTTGCTGTTTTGTCTCTCTAGGCATCCGTCCTCATATGACCCTGATCGTTGTGTGTCCCTAGGCACCCGTCCTCATATACCCGTCCTCATATGACCCTAGTTGATGTGTCTCCCTAGGCACCCGTCCTCATATGACCTCTCCCTAGGCATCCGTCCTCATATGACCCTTATTGTTGTGTGTCCCTAGGCACCCGTCCTCATATGACCCAAGCTTATGTGTCTCCCTAGGCACCCGTCCTCATATGACCTCTCCCTAGGCATCCGTCCTCATATGACCCTTATTGTTGTGTGTCCCTAGGCACCCGTCCTCATATGACCCTAGCTGTTGTGTCTCTCTAGGCACCCGTCCTCATATGTCCCTGGCTGTTGTGTCTCCCTAGGCACCCGTCCTAATATGACCCTGGCTGATGTCTCTCCCTAAGCGCCCCGTCCTCATATGATTCTGGCTGTTGAGTCTCCCTAGGCACCCGTCCTCATATGACCTCTCCCTAGGCATCCGTCCTCATATGACCCTGATTGTTCTGCGTTCCTAGGCACCCGTCCTCATATGACCCTGTCTGTTGTGTCTCTCTAGGGCTGTTGAGTCTCCCTAGGCACCCGTCCTCATATGACCTCTCCCTAGGCATCCGTCCTCATATGACCCTGATTGTTCTGCGTTCCTAGGCACCCGTCCTCATATGACCCTGTCTGTTGTGTCTCTCTAGGGCTGTTGAGTCTCCCTAGGCACCCGTCCTCATATGACCCTGGCTGCTGTGTCTCCCATGGCATCTGTCCTCATATGACCCTTATGACCCTTGCTGTTGTGTCTCCCTAGGCCCCGGCCTCATATGGCCCTGGCTGTTGTGTCTCTCCTTGCTGTTGTGTCTCCCTAGGCACCCGTCCTCATATGACCCTAGCTGTTTTGTCTCTCTAGGCACCCGTCCTCATATGACCCTTGCTGTTGTGTCTCCCTAGGCCCCGTCCTCATATGGCCCTGGCTGTTGTGTCTCTCTAGGCACCCGTCCTCATATGACCCTGGCTGCTGTGTCTCCCATGGCATCTGTCCTCATATGACCCTTGCCGTTGTGTCTCCCTAGGCACCCGTCCTCATATGGCCCTGGCTGTTGTGTCTCTCCTTGCTGTTGTGTCTCCCTAGGCACCCGTCCTAATATGACCCTGGCTGATGTCTCTCCCTAAGCGCCCCGTCCTCTTATGATTCTGGCTGTTGAGTCTCCCTAGGCACCCGTCCTCATATGACCCTAGCTGTTTTGTCTCTCTAGGCACCCGACCTCATATGACCCTTGCTGTTGTGTCTCCCTAGGCACCCGTCCTCATCTGACCCTGGCTGTTGTGTCTCTCTAGGCACCCGTCCTCATATGACCCTGGCTGATGTGTATACCTAGGCATCCGTCCTCATATGACCCTGGCTGTTGTGTGTCCCTAGGCACCCGTCATCATATGACCCTAGCTGATGTGTCTCCCTAGGCACCCGTCCTCATATGACCCTGGCGGTTCTGTCTCCCAAGGCACCCGGCCTCATATGACTCTGGCTGGTGTGTCTCCCTGTGTCCCCCTAGGCACCTGTTCTCATATGACCCTAGCTTTTGTGTCTCCCAAGGCACCCGTCCTCATATGACCCTGGCTGTTGTGTCTCCCTAGGCACCCGTTCTCATATGACCCTGGCGGTTCTGTCTCCCAAGGCACCCGGCCTCATATGACTCTGGCTGGTGTGTCTCCCTAAGCAGCTGTCCTCATATGACCCTAACTGTTGTGTCCCCCTAGGCACCTGTTCTCATATGACCCTAGCTTTTGTGTCTCCCAAGGCACCCGTCCTCATATGACTCTGGCTGGTGTGTCTCTCTAGGCACCCGTCCTCATATGACCCTGGCTGTTGTGTGTCCCTAGGCACCCGTCCTCATATGACCCTAGCTGATGTGTCTCCCTAGGCACCCGTCCTCATATGACCCTGGCTGTTGTGTCTCTCTAGGCACCCGTCCTCATATGACCCTGGCTGTTGTGTCTC